CAGCCCCCCCGCCGCCCTCCGGCACACGTGCTTGATCCGCGGGCCTCGCACGGACGCTTCCGAGGAATCGCTCTCCTGTCCCTAGCACGTGAGAACAGCATTGTAAGAAAGGGATCAAAATGCGATTGGAAAACAGGCAACAGAAACCTCAAGGTAACCTAAGAACACCTAAACTGTATCCAAGGTTGCACTTCATACGGATCAGAGTAAAAATAAGGACACGGTCCTCTGAGCCATCAGCTAGGAAGGGTCTTTTGGAGGTGAGGGGAACAGGGAGGAAAGAGAGGAAAGCGCTGGGAAGCTGCTTTTCCATCACATCCAAAGACCCAGGGAATGTCGCTCTCTCCCAAAATTAAGAGATCGCTCCCCTGCAGAGTTACAGGGTTGGGAGGAAGAGCCACAGAGCCGCTCCACGGGCTCGGGGAGGCCTTACCTGCGCTTTCGGCGGGTCGGCCTGCTTGAGGGACTTGCTCTTCTCGATCTTGTAGAGCTGCGCCTTGGCCTTCTTCAGGAGGCTGGCCACCCGCTTGTCGGTCATGGGCAGCTTGTCGGCTTGGGCCAGCATGGAGCTGATGGAGGAGGCGGAATGTTTGACGGCGCTCGCCGACGGAGCCGAGAGGCGCAGGGCCTTCTCCTTCTCCAGGGCCGGCGCGGCGGGGCTCAGCTCCAGCTCGGATTTGTCCGAGCCCCCTCTGCCTTTCTTGGACGGCTTGGCTTTGACCGCGGCCGTGTCTGCCGGGGCGGCCGCGGCAGCGTCTGCCGCGGGCTCTACCGCCGCCGACTTTTTCCGCCCGGCGGGCTTTTTGGCAGAGGATGATGCTGCAACATCTTCACTGACAACTTTTTCTTTGGGCATTTTACCTACAGGAAACAAAGCAGAGCTACTCTGAATTTCTGACCCTTTCCTCCTTTTCTCTTTCCTTGACTCCCGCTTGTTTTCCTTTTCTCTCTCTCTGTCTTTCTCTCTGCTCTTGTCCTTCTCCACGCTTTTGTCAGCATCCTTCTCCTTGGACAGCTCCTCGGTGGCCCTGTCCTTGCTTCTCCCCCTCTCTGTCTGGGGACTCGATGCGAACCAGGGAAAGATTTTAAAGATAGGAGCGGGGCGCGTAGAGGAGAGCGGCTCTGCCGGAGCGCTCGGCTTCTTCCTCGGCCTCTGGCTTCGCTCCGCCGACTCCCCGGGCTGCGTGAGGGAATGGGAGGGAAAGGTGAAAGTTGAATTTAAGGCACTAGTGGCAAGAGAACTAACAGAGATGCTAGTTAATGAGGGAGAGACAGAAGCCGGTGGGGTGAGAGTTGCCAGCTCAGAGCTGCTAAGTCGCCCGCTTCTCGTCCTCATGGAGTGCGAAGGAGACCGGGGTTCCGAGCGGATGGGGCTGAACACTCTTCTCTTCCGCTTCCGAGAAGAGCCG